GTATAATATCAAGCGTAGGCGACAGCCCTTCGGCATCCTGCTTCAGTATGCTATTAAGAAGGATCTCCTCCTCGATTGGAGTGAGATTGCTATTCTGTGGCATATAGTCCTCTCGAGCAGGACTTCCTTTCAATCTCCGAAGCAGCGTTGATTTTGAGACACCGTAGGTTTTTGCAGCAGCATTTACAGATCCTATGTCACCTGATCTGAAAGCTGATATTGCAAGCAGTACACTCCCTTCGTTTGAGCTCTTTTGGACGCGTTTTGATGGTGCCATCGCGTGTTGAAGTTGTTGTTGTTATGGACACGTAATTCGTGGACCACGCCGTGGGGTGGACCGCGCTCTGGTGTTTGACGTTAGCTGAGAGCTCTAGATTACATAAGCGTACCACTCTTTCGAAACCTTGGAAGGTCGTGAGCATTTACTTACTGTGCCATTCATTCGACATAGATGATTTCTTATTACAGACGAACCGTTACGAATCACGATCAATTATCACGACGATTAAATGACGAAGGTTCTCATAAAAGACGACATCACTTTAAAAGTGGAATGGAAATATTGAAATTAAATATCAGACATGATCGCATACATTGGGGGATTCTAAAGACAGACGGAGGAGGAAAACTAAAGCTAAACAGTAAAACGGCGACAATCCAAACAGTGCCAATCGCGTACGAGAAGCATAACATTAAAATAGACACAAGACCGGAGCTTCCGACGTCTTCTTGCAAAAAGGAAAACAATGGCCGTTGGGCAGACTCTTCTTTTTCTTCTTCTTCTCCCTCTTCTTCTTTTTCCACCTCCTTTCATTCTTCCGTGTTTCCTCCTCTTTCGGAGGTAGTGAGAGATAGACGTAGAGCGAGCGACTATGGTTGTAGTAGTAACAGAACATCCGCGGCGTCCTCGCATTCACACATAGGCAACATCGTCCTTTTTCGACTTCCTTTCGATCTCAGACTTGCTGCTTTCCGGCTTTTGTTGCTTTGCTCACGCAAGAGTCAGAGAACAAAGGAGAGAGAGAAAGACTTTCTTGTTTACAAAACAAATTTCTTTTTCGTGAACAGGGTGTCAGAGATGTCTTCAACCCTCCAATCGTCGACCAGCCACGCGGTCCTCGAGGAGCATGTACTTGGTAACGGGCTCCTCGGGGACAACATCAAGCGATCCCTGCGCAGCGTCGGTCTCGTCGACTTCGAGGATCTTGGGACCGCCGTCGCCGCCAATGGTGCTCTGCATGGAAGATCGGCCAGAGAGCGCCGAGCTGTGGAGGACGCCGTCGGAGGCGATGCTCATGCTAGTGCTAGCACGATCATGGACGAGGTCGGGGGTCGGAGGGACCACGGACGAAGCGCGCTTGCTGCTCTCGGCTGAGGAGATGGTGCTGCCGGCGCCGTGCAGCTGCTGGTGTTGTTTTGCATTGTGTTGCAATTGCTGCGTGCTTATGTGGCGATGATGTTGGCTGTATGAGGAGAAGGTAGGTGAGGAGGACGCCGTGGAGGCGGAAATGTCGGATTTGGCATCGGCGTGGGAGCCGCCGAAGTCTGACTCGTTGTCTTCATTAGTGGGAGATGAAGCTCCGGGAGAGAAGCTGGAAGAGTGCATTGAGTCGGGTGAGAGAAGGGTGCGAAGAGGCCGCTTGGAGCTGAGACGTCGGCTAGCACGGCTGTCCGAAGTGATTGAGCCAGGTGACTTGAAGTCATCCATGTTGTCGCCTTCCGATGAAACGGTGTCGGCACGACGAGCAAGGTCGAGACCTTCAACTGCGGCAGCACACTGCTCGGAAATGTTGCGGATGATGTAGGCGATGGCGTCAGTCTTGTCGCGAAGGTGACGGTCAGCGACGTCAGTCATGCTGAGCTCAGAGAACCGCTTGGAAGAGTGACGACGGGAAGCCGTAGTTTCCGAAGGTGTCGAAGATTCGCCTTCGTGGTGCATGTCGCTGCGGAGCGATTGACGAGTGCTGGCACGCGATGAAACCCGAGATCCCATGCTGAACATGCTGCGAATGGCAGCTGGGGAGTGTTGAGCGGAGGGTGCAGGAACGTTCAACTCGCCAGAGACAGGGCTCTGCGCCTCCTCCTCGGCGTCCAGAAATTCCGACGCCTCTGGAGTGTCCTTGAGCGAGCGGACAATGTGCTCCATGTGGTGGGCCTGGCCGTCGATGAGAGCGCGCAAGTGCAAGACAACGCGTTGAGTCTCGTCGCGTTGGCGCAACAGAGTAGCGTTGGTGTGTTGCAACGCAGAGAGATCCTTCTTGTTGCGTTTGCGTTCGCGCTCGAGCTCCTCGGCAATTTCCTGTTGCAGTACCAATGCCTCGAGGGCGTCGTCGCGCTGTTTCTCCGTACCAGACAGACGGACAGTGATGCGGTTGATGTCGTCCTTCTGCTGGTCGATGAGAGTTGTGAGTCGGCGGTTCTCGCGCTTGTGTCCGTCGATCTTGACCTTGAGCTCGTTGGTCTCCTTGGTGAGCTGCTCAGCGAAAGCCTGGAATTTAAGGAACTGCTGCTTCCAACTTTCAAGTTCCTCAACGAGGAAGTTGTTGCGCTTGGAGACCTTAGCAAGCTCAGTGTCCATACGTCCCTTGAGATTGATGAAGTCTTGCCATGCTTCCATCGCGTCACGCGAGTATTGGTTGCGCTCGCGAACAATTTCGTTGAGATGGCGCATGGAGACTTTGGTCATGAGCGGCTTCTTGTTGGTACCTGTCAGGACAGCCTTGATGCCAGTGTTCTTGCCCTGTGCGATTAATGTTAGTACTCGATGAATAGCATTTTCGTCGTTGTGCAGGGTTGTACATACCAACTTTGAGCAGGCATGGTCCATCACGCGCATTACTTCATTCTGGTTCCACCAATTCGGGTCCTGAACGCTCTCAACCTCACCGCGCATGACAATGATTTGACCAGCCGGGATAAGCTTGCCACCGCCGTATGCTGATCGAAGGTGCTGTGGCACACCAGATGGAGCAACATCGCCGTTCAGTGCCTGAGTGATACGGTTGATGATCTTGGTCCTCTGTCGCGCATTCCACGCAGTCGGTGGGCTGGACGTGAGGACGAAGTTGCGATCAAGGTCGACAACTAATGCGTCCGAGGGAGCAGTGAAGAGTGTACGGCATTCGGATGTCATGCCGAGAATGTATGGACCCGGCTCTTGCACCAATTCGCGAGCGTGTCGCGCGTGCACAACAGGCACATACAAACCACTCCACTCGTAAACGCGAACCAAGCAGCGAATGGTCTCGGTGGCCACGGTCAACATGGCGGGATAGTGCGAAACAAATATGATTCGGCGAGTGGGAGAGACGGCAGCTTCAAGCACACCGACGATGTTGGGGATCGACAAACAAGAGAACAGTGGCCACATGGCGAAGTTCTGGAATTGCGTTGGCGAGGAAGGAAACTGGTAGCACAAAGCATAGTCCTTCATGTCGATGCGAACCAAGTCGTTCAGACGCGGTGCGGGAAAGCTGAGGATACGGGATACCTCTTCCGCGTGGAAGAGGTTGGTGGCCTTGTTCCAGTGAATCCACATGCCACGGAGGTAGTCGCCAAGGAGATTGTACAACGGGTATCGGGATAAGAAGGACAGGCAGTACGGGATCCAGTACGTCTCGTTCGGATTGTCGTAGTAGTCAGGCTCGGTGCGTTTGCGCAGATCGCGAATGGTCTCGGCGCGCTTCTCATCGGCGCGTGACCAGACGCGGAGAGCAATACCGTATAGGGTGTGAGAAGAGTCCTGTTGAAGAACAAAGGCGTGGTGAACGCAGTGAGGCTGGCTTGCTCCAGTGCAAATCTCAACATCATGAGGGAAACAGGCCTAGAGAAAAATCCAAGGTTGTCAGTCGCGAATAATTCCTGCGGCACATCCCTTAGAATCGATACATACCCTCATCGCGGCATGAAGCGAGCGTGCAATGTCATTATCCTGCTCCAGCCGTGGGCTGCTACCAAGAATTTCTGGCAACCAAAACTGCCCAACGGCGCCCTTCATATGTCCGATTCTACCTTGAACGGGTGCTGGGGCGCGCACCCATTGCGACGGTTCCCGTCCAACACCGCATACCATGTAGGCATGCGTCAAAGTCTTAGGAGCGCGGTTGCCCCGAGGCGAAGGCGCGGCTTGTGGAAGAGGCGCGACAATGCGTGAGTGAAGCGATGAGGTACGGTTAGGGACCTCGATGGCATCTCCGTCGCGTCCGCGACTGGCAGGTCGCAGAGCGGAAGACTCGCCAGTCTTCGGCCTGGAGTTGAAGTGAGACAGCATGATCGCCTGCGCACGCTCGATGGTCGTGATGCACCGACGACAAGGAATGTGTCGAAGAGGTCGAAGAGTAAGAGGACGTTGAGCCCCAGGCAAGTCGGACTCGATCAGTCAAACACCCGATATTCGCGCCCGTCTGAGGTTGAAGAGGAAGAGAAGAAGGGGGCAAGCAAGTGCGGGAGTGTGTGGTGTTGATGATGGTTGTGCTCAATATCGGTCCTGATGGAGCCGGCAGCGCCGTAGCCCGCACTGGTGGTAGTGGGTGCAACGGAAAGGTGGGTGAGGGAAGCGCGAGCGACCGTTGCGGGTGTGATTAAAAGTACGGAAGAGCTACTGCTGGTGAGAACTCGCACGGATTATGGCGTGAAAGACAGCAGCGGGTGGAGGGGAGCAAGGAATGTGATCCTGGCGAAGAGGGTGCTCAGACCCTTTTCCAATGGCTGCCTCGTGGGAAGCAGCTGGAGGTGTGCGTGAGACAGAAACGGCGAAGACGGATGAAGAGACAGTACAGTCTCCCTGTACTTCTGATGAGCTATCTTATTATGCAGAATGCACTGCAGATCAGAGGAGAAAGCGGAGCAAGACGTGCTGAGGAGGAGACACAAAGCGGAAGCTCGAAGAAGCGGGCGATGATGTGGAAGGCGGCGACGCAGGATAGGCAAAGTGGGAGCCGAGTCGGTGCAGGTGTTTCTGGTACTATGTACTGGTTTTCCTGCGCCGAGAGGGTGCGATGCTGTATGAAGATCAGTCGGCAACCAGGTTGAAGCGAACAGTTTTCAAACCTGGTGAGGGCTTGGAATGGAACGACGACGAATGAAGGACACACAGCATCAGTGTCATAGGTGAAACGTCAGGGGCATCACCACTCCCGCTGGAAGAGGACAAGCCCGGATTCCCAATGTGTGTTTCGTGACAATACGAATCAGCTGCCTCAGTCCTTGGGACGCATTTGGTTGGACTCGGTGCTGCACAGAGGCGGACAGAGGCGGCGGCTTGTTGGAAAGGAGCTGGAGCGGAATGGCATGACCTAAGCTAAACCGATAAGGAGAAGCGGAAGTTGAGACGAAAGGGTGTGAAGTCGAAGAGAAGGTGTGGGGGAGTCTCCGCTGTAGCGGAAAGCATATGCAGCCACACGGCGGGAGAACTTGTCTAGCGCGTTGCGGCCCGCTCATCGACTGGACAATCAGACATTGTTCTTGTTAGCCCATTTCCTCCATCTTTGCGCGCTGCAAGTCCACATCGTTGCGCATCATGCTTCCAGACTCCTTTGCTGGCAACTCGTCCGCTCGTCGTCAGTTCCGGTTGGTGAGACATTACTAATGCGGTCACGATCAATGTGATGATAACCAGTGGCGAGGACGCCCATGCGGACTGAGCTGAATGAGGCCAGCCGCGGCTCGCGACGAGATGACTATTTTGAGCCTGTGTTACAAGACACCGTAGCAATTGCGCATTTGATAAATCATTTTACGCGGCACTAACAACGCTCAGTCGTGAAACTCGAGGTAGTGCGACGATAATCTCAATCACAACAATGAAGATCAAACGTGGGATGATCAAACGAAGCGGGCGTGTTGGAAAGGAAAGTCCCCCAAATTAGCATACGGAACTTCAGACTACTTCCAAAGGGATGAGAAAACCGTTGGAGACATGGCAGCATCGTGCAGTGGGACTGGCTTCGAGGGACGACGACATGCACATGGTCCCACACCCGCTATCTCTTTCGTACAGTACATCATATATGCTTTCTTGCCGACATCTCCTGCAAGCAGACTTGCCGGTCTGTACTCAATTGCATAGCGTCAGGTACTGTTCTGGAGGACTGGAATTAACGTGGCAGGATTGGGGAAAGCCTGCCTTGTTTCCGGGATGCGGGTTTTGGAAAGTCCCCCGCCCAGGCTGTGTCCAACCGAAGGTGTAACGCCAAGCACATTACTCATCAGAAACGATGCTCACAGGATATTGACGCGATCTGTCGTCAGTATGAGACCGGAATGGTATCTATTGAGCGTTCCTAATATTTTCATCACGCCCTCAAACGAATTCTTTGCTCCATGGATCTCACCGTCATAGTCGCATTAACAATGCAGCAGAAGTGTCAATGACTCACAGCTTTCCTTCAAAGCGCGGCGCGATCTCTACTTCGACCTCAACAATCCGTACCCGGGTCGAGGTGGATGCGGTGTCGAATGTGCTAGACGAAGATTATCTCCACTCTCGGGCATGATGCCTCAGACGTCCCAGCCATCTTTGCATTATTTGCGCCATCATTCCATCACAAAACGCCGGAATCGAGGACATATTTGCTCTTGCAGACAGAATTCCTCTCACCTATGCCCATCCGCATCATCTGTAAGTGCATCATCATCAACGGGCAAGGAGATTTTTCTCCGTCCCTGCATTAGAGCGGGCACGATAGATGCATGTGCATGCAGCTTGACGATATGCGACACCGGGGGGAAGGAGAAAAAGCTCGTTTGCTAATGTAGTCTTGCAGTAATGTAGGGCCATGCAGCGCTCATCATTGATCGCGCAAAAGAATTTTCCGATCGCTGGAGAAAATGAGTGTCCAAGTCATCATTCGGAAAGAATATGTCCGAAATGTGTGAACGATGCTATTTGAATATGTCCGAATTAAAAATGATAACTACGCTCGTCACGTACAGTGCAGCATCAGAATATATGCTGTTGTATGTACAGGTAATTGTCTCGTAGACAAGAGTGGTCCCCGGGGTAAATTGGGCATTTCAATTTGACTTCAATAGTCTACTGTCCCATGGTACAGCAGCCGCGTGGAGCACAGCATGATTCCCATATTGATAACCACACTTATCACCTTCCACGAATTCTCCTGACGAAGGAAGCAGTCGGAGGTCGAGACTCGATGCCGTAAAAGATTGTCATTTTCAGCAGGATTTCCTACAAGCTCGTCTTCCCGATACACAACGCGCGAGTGTTTCAAACCAACGCACGACACGCCGTGGCGTAGATAGACTGAATATAACGGGACTAGGTCGGCGGGGGCTCGTGCATGAGAAAGCTGACAGTGACAACCTTGAGAGAAGCTTCTCACCTGGGCATCGGAAATCTTCTCATGTAGCATCGTGTGCCTGCGTCCACAGTGGGCCTCAGGCTGTTCCAGGTCTGCAGGTACCGCAGGTATGTGATGATCGTACCTGCACTCACCAGCCTTCGATTATTATTCATTTGCTTCGGCTTTCAGCGGCTCCACTCCTCGGCAGCGGGCAACAGGATGTAGATAATATGAAAAGATCCATCATATATACGCGTGTCATCGCGGCGTGGCGTCGGATTTTGCAATTCGCTCAGGCAAGGTCGTCCTTCGACCTGTGGTTCGGAAGGCCGGGTAAAACCAAGTGGTGGCAGACAACAACCAAACTATACGTCTTTCTTTTGGGTCACAGGCCGCGGATGCGGTACGTCCGCTCCTGTCACATAGCGAGCAAACAATGGTTCCACGCGTCCGCCATGCGATGGTTGTCCTTGCCTTCCATTTCCGCGTGAACATTCGTCTAGACGGTACCGCTTACCTCTGAGCTGCCCATTTGCCCTTGGGTCATGTACGTTCAAGCCGGGGAACACAAATCTTGTTGCCTCGTCGGAGGATTGTCACGATCGCGGGCGGCAACCAATGGTGCAGCCTTCGGGTATTGCATCATATACAGTGGCGAGCAGAGGCTGGGTCTAGGTTGTGATGAACTCCTGTGCGGGCATGTAACATGCAATGCACATGCGAGGGGTTTGAAAATATGATATTTTGTGGTGGTCTACCCAAACCCTAACCCTAGCAACATTGGCCGCCCAGCGTAACAAAGAAGACGAAGAAGACAATGATGAGAGCAGAATCGTTATAAGACCATCGCTGCAAGGTCGTGTATTTAATCGTAGAGACGAACACATCGGTGCCCATCGCGCTTACGTTGGAAGCTTCCAGGACAGCTAGACCGATGTTCACTAGATAGATCGAGACCTGAGTGCGAGGTTGACATATTTACAACGATAAAGAACGTTCACTTCGCCCGCAGATTTTTGGACCAGCTGCCATTTGGTGCCCAGAACGCCAATCTTTGGTTGAGTGGCACCGACGTGAATTTTGCTACTTTCACTACATTGATTGCCGAAACAAACTCCGTCGCGCGGCAGGAGGACATGAGATGTCCCACTGTTTGCCATTCAAGCAGACCAGTCTCTACACCACGCTCGAGCTGGTGCCATCAACCAGATTTGCATATTCCATTGGTCAGGGAACAGTCCCGGCCTATCCCTAGTCGGTAAAACTGAAGACTGGAGATTCAATATCATTTGAGGCAAGGGGTGCTCATCTCGAGTTCTCGGAATTCACTCCGATTTCTGCGAGGTGAATTCAAGCGGACAGCTTCGCAATACGGTTTTCAGCCCACGTGCCAAAAACACCGAAGAGATTGTCGGGCTCCTCACCTCTGCAATCTCTCAGCGCAACCCAAAGGATGCGGACAGCCGAGCCGCGCTCGATAGCAATCTGAAATACAGGTGCATGCGTAAAGAGCTGCTCAAAATAGTGATCGGACCATGTTCGATACGTCTTAAGATCAGCTGGTGAGTTGTCCGATGGCTTGCAAGCTACCACATGTCTTGCCGGATTGCTGAGCGTGAGGTCGACCTGACTCACTGGCACCACGGGATCGGCCAAGAAGGCAGGAACAATACAACCTGTCTCCCAGTCATACAAAGAAGTCACACCAACGTGGTCCGGACTTGTCTCCTCGATGGTCATATTGTGAATACCAAAACCGCCATGCTCCGTAACGCAGCGGTACAAGTCGTTTGTTGCATCCTCTATGGGCATGATGAGAGGAATCGCACGGAGGAGAGGCTACTTCGCTGCGTAGGCGACAGGCCCAGTGACTTTGTGATCATCTTCCCAGCCAATTACGTCACTAATGTTTCCAATTGTTGCTTCGATCTTGGTCACCAGGACATGCGACCAGAAATCCTCAGTTGGGGCTGAAGTCAAGTCGAAGTGAGGCGGCTTGGATTTGAAGAGTCTGAATCTAGCGTGGAACTCCTTGGACACCTGGAAGCGAAACAAAGCTGTGCGCATCGCTGCAAGCTGAGATATGAGTCTCATCTGCCAACATCGTGTCAGGCGATCAGACCCACAGAATTCGGTAGGAAACCCACCTTGCCACCTGAAAATCACGATTGCCAGACGTTATCATGTCCGCGAGCAACATCGAAAACGAAACGCCTCCTTCCTACCAGATCTGATAATACCTGTATATTGTCACCGGGATGTTAGAGCGGTTCGCGACGGTACAACAGGCGAGAATATTTGATTGCGTTATTCGATTGCAATAAGTCGTAGACGGCCACCTCAAACCCAACTTCCCGAGATCTGTTCGCTTATCGAAAAGCTATCGAAACCGGGCGTGTTAATCGCCTCTGGCAAGTCGTGCGAGGAGCTCGACCATCTGCGCAACGGATTTTACTTCCCAAGGTGTTGTAAGCTACATCGCTGTGACAATGTCATCTTGCCCGATTGTTGACCAAGATACTCACAAAGTTGTTGGATCCTCTCGAGACAAGGGGAATGTCAGTAATCCGCACTTCAAGGTCCTGCTCGATTTCTTGTACGAGTTTCTGAACACTCCATTGCTGTCTGGATGGACTCTTGCCCTCGTTCGCCAGCTTCAGCAGATACTCGCCATCGTATGGCTCGCTAAAAGCCGTGATGGGCCATTCATCGCGCCAGCCCATTTCAGTTATTACTGTCAGAGGAAAAGCGATTGAAGGCAGGTTATACTCGACTACAGATACAAGCGGAAAAAGCTGAAACGCATGTGATGCACGTTGTTATCGAGGCACCAAAACTCCTCATGCCTGTATTTGCTGTGCCACGAACGTGATGCTTTGTGAACGGCACAACCTTATGAAGCACCATATTTTTTAAGTTGAAAGACTATGCGCGAATAATGTTTCAAAGGTGTAACGAGTAGATGTGAAAGACTATGCGCGAATAATATTTCGAAGGTGTAACGAGTAGATGTTAAGCATGTTCATTCACGATATGAAAAGCAATTACCGCAACATTGGAACTGAGCTTACTAATAAGACTTTTCGGTCGGCTTTAGAATTTCTTACCTCCTGGCGTCTCGGTACGAGCGCGCTAAACGATCATTCGTGCTTCGGTACGAGCATTGGCGTTCGGAACTCGTGATCAACGCAACGCTGTCATGATCAGGTTGCGAGAGGCAAGTCTTGTCAAAAAATGACACGATAAGTACATAGTCACCCCAAGCTAGTCACCCAAGGTTCATCATGCATGCGAGCTTGATAAAGACCACCATCGCCCGGTGCAAGCTTACGTGGACCCTCCCGGGCTCTGCCCAACAACAACCTCGCCCTGCGAATCAGATATGGCGAGATCCATGACTCTCGGATACACTTCTCCTGCCGAATCGGATGCACCATACGCACGATTCTTGACGTCCGAATTGGATCCGCTTCCCGCTCAAGCCATTGAAGCACTCAACCGCGGGCCACGAGCACCGGAACTCTTCTCTGAACCTGAGGATGGCAGCGCCTTACAAGGAAGCAGTACCGCAACTGTCGGCACGAAACCAGGTTTCCTTGAAAATGGCTATGCACTAACACCGGCCGGGGGTATGATCGTCGCATGTACGCATTCACCAATGCCTGGCGTCGAGCCGGCAATGTGGGCGTGGTGGTTTGCTTGGCATGGGCATGAGTCGGCCAGGTACAAGCTGTGGCATCCACAAGCACATGTTTCTGTAGCTTGGGCCGATGGAGCTGGATATAACGGCAAATACATCGGCCGAACCAGTCAAGTTGACGAGTACATCGGTGGCAAGCTGCTATCGTTATCCATCCGATTTGTCCCTCCAGTGGAGCTTGGTTTTGACGAGGCGCAACTTGCAGCCGCAGGCGAAGTTGTCATCTGCGCCCGCGGTATCCAATCGAGACTCACTGGCGAGATCCAGGTCGGAACTTTCTGTCACCATCTCACGCCGACACCGCATGGAGCGGTCATGCGCTCACGATTCTGGCTCGGCGGAGAGTATGTGCGACCATTCGGAGCAACGAAAGCAAATTTCATTGTGCGGACGATAGCGTCGTTTATGCCGCGGACGAACGAGGACGCCCAGGCGCTGCTTGTGCACGCCGCCGAGGAAATGCAGCATTTGAGCAAATTTCTACCGCAGCTGTATGCGCAATTCGAGGGAAACCGTGATGCCACGAGCTAAGCTGCGAACAACCTCCAAATTCGTTCTGTCATCGGGACCATATGGACGATCCTAGCGGGCAAATCCGTCTTATCGATTTGATTTGTGAAGGCATGCAAGTTGTTCAGCGGATTGAGTGGTTGTATTGCAAAATTGCACCGATGCGTGTTGCCGGTCGCTGAACATTATGAAGTCGCACATCGCGTCTCGCTGGCATGTGACCCATTTCGAGTTGCTGTATATTTCGCTGAAGCTAAGAATTCTTTTCCGACAGCATACGTGTATTTGCTCAAGTCTAGGTAGCCAGTGTTGCCCCCGAATGGACCCTCCTTCTTGGTGGACTCGATAGATGGGTACGGCGATTGATCGAAGCACAGACGCAAGCCACATCGTCCTGCTCGCATCTTGTGAGGTCTTTCGAGCATCAACGCTACGTTCATTCCTTCGTTATCCATAGCAAAAAGACCTCTTTCTATAGTGATAAGGAGAGGCCGTGGCTGAAAGGCCTCTTCGTAAAAATACATTGAGTTGAGGAATTCTTCGAACCGACCGCTCAGAGACTTCGCGTGACTTTTGAGAAGTCTGATCTCGAGCTTAATCGTACCAATGATCTTGGTCGTAGAATGTTGAGGCTTGTGTCCAACGTCGGTGCTGGAGAGCGGGAGCCGGTTCCATTCAATGTTGGCACCAATTATCCACATATGATCTCCGATGTAGATGAGCTTCCGGCGATCGTTGTCAGAGCGTTCCGTGGCTGCCTACGCAGAACTCGGCAACTTACCTCTCCCGTTCCACCCTCATGGAACGTGACCGAGAAGAATTCGGACTGCTTGAAGAACCATCTTCCTTGGCCACATAAAAGGGCGTAAAGTGCGTCGGAGTTCGCGTCAGTCATCTGTTTACTGTAGAGTACAGTTGACCCATGATCACCTGGGCACGATCCAGCAGCGGTCATCCGTGGCATGCGCCAATGACTAATCAAACCATGACTAATTTTATACTCATCTGTTGGTGCCGTGGAGCCTCAAACGTGAAGAAGACATTTATTCTAGGCCGAAAGTAGCCTTAGTAATCATATCTCTTTTGGAGTAAGACAGAAGTCGTTGTACAAAAGATCAAAACATACCAGCTCCTCTTGGTGAAGCCGTCGGAGTACGGTCCGACAGACCAATGTCGCGTCTTCGCGATGCATGTCGCGCGCAGCCAAACGAGGCTGCGCCCTCCACTCTACTGACGCCTTGCATGACATCTGATCTGAGTTGATGCGAATCATTGTTACTCCTACAATAGGGAGCTGCAAATTGTGGGCGTCGGTCTTGCCTTGAAAGCGCGGAGCCAACTACTTATGATGTCCTAAAACGCGTCATCTTCCATTTGCAATGCATCTCATTATAATCGCGGTCAATATATTTGGAGGAGCGAGCGATAGCCCGTACCATAATTAGTTATATTCCGAGGCATATGGTATAAATAATAACAAAGCCGTAAGGCAATTATTTGAAGTGCTGTTTCTTTGTGTACCACATTCCGACAATCACATCGCAAAGAGCTTTGTCTGCATGAGTATACAATCAGGCAGGACGACACATACCACGAAACTTCAAATTCCTGCTTGTTGATCATGGTCTGCATGAACGACTAATCAACGAATCGAGCGCTGGGCCATAGCATATAAGTATCAAGACCGCACCGCTGTTGCGTCGCTTTTCGACATCACACTCAGACCTCGATCTCCCGAGCGCATCGTTCATGCAAGTCGTTCGCTCCAAACCCTGTTCACTTTCTGCAGTCCTTGCTGGCACCAAGTATCTCTGCTCGTCGTTCATTCTACGACATCGCCACCGTCGATAAGAATTGGCCTACAACTCCCCCAACAACCTCAGAACACATCAACGAACTCCTCAACAAGATGGGTCTCCTGAAACTCGCATTTCCTCCTGCTTCACTGTACAACAGCATTCCTTTCATCCATGACATGGAAAGTGTGGTAAAAGCCCATGCTGATGACCTTGTCAAACTCAGAGCGCTCCTGGTCAAACATGACATGCCAACTAGCGTTTGTGTCAAGCTGCTCCATATCCACTTCCATCTCAGACATCAAGAAATAATCGTTACGCAAGAGTTGGATGCATCACCTCACGTGAAGATCCCTTTCCTAGAGCCTATGAGTTTGAACGTGGCGGGAAAAGTCTATGGCTGCAGCTACGTTGTGGACCATCAGGGCGATCTCCAAGTGTTTGAGTTTACCAGGGTTGCTGGAGGCCCTGACTTCACTGCCTATCCAGCATTTGTCGCAGAGTTCTGCGGTCTTGTTATGCAACTCGGTGTGCAGGACAAGTTCGGCCTCGCTATCAACTCTGGCGTTGCTGAGGACGGTGCGTGGATGGAGCTCGACTACCCCGAGAAGCGAGCAACATTTCTCCTTCCAGAGAACATTGCTGTCCCCAGGAGTGAGCACTTGGAGATGAGAGTGACGACTACCAAGTTTCCGAGACCTGATATTACCGACCTACGCAGCAAGCAACACGCTCATGTCGAGCACTCTTGGTCGAAGAGACGCGCCACCGACGGTGAGGAGATTCTTGATGGTGTCACGACCAAGGGCGGGCTCCGCCTGACAGGTATGGCTCTAGAACATGGCACGCCTTTCCACCAGGTTGTCTCGGCGATCGCTGCAGCTGCTTAATTGCGATGAATTCAAAATGGACCGACACCATCCTGCCAGTACCATAACAGAAACGAGTTTATGGAGTGATTTCTGACATCACAGCCTGGAGGTCGGAACGTTTGAAGCTTTTCTTGGCCAGAAACTCACTTGCTTGCTTTGATTTGGGACTTAGCATGTAAATTAGTTCTGCTTTTTCCAGCTCGAGACCAATCCGTTCTTCGATTCATTCGTTCTGCGTCATATATTGTTCACTGTGACTTGCTTCTTCCGTTCAAAAGGGGTTCTTTTAGGCATCGATTCATTTAACATTCGATGCTTTCCAAAAAGCGCTTGTCAGTAGATGCAAGATTTGAAGGTATCTATTAAGCTTGACTGTTGATTAGATGAGAGTCTGTCATGTTGCTAGGTATCATTAACTGTAAGCAGGGTAGGGTTGATGATCTCTGATAGTCGAATATAGAGGTGTCTGAAGTCGCGCAGCTCGGGAGAAAAATTGTCATATTCTCGCACTACGCCTGTATAAAGATCGACGAGCTACAAGCCCGAAATATCGTCAAAATGAGGTTAGTCCGGGATCCGTTGCCGACCTCTCTAACAAAGAATGTTGGATCAGTCCAGCCGTGCTCTTATGGACATTTGATTACACTTATTGCAGTTGTAATTGTGTTGAAAATTCTGGGAAACGGGTCTTTGCGAATCAGAAAGGACACTTCCTTATTCCGTAGAAGGCATTTGATGCTAGTAAGAGCGTCGAAGTGGACTGGTAGAGCTAATTGGATGTTTCGGTACGCGATGCTGTACACATTCGCAATTCCGTACAGAACATTACTCTCTACGGGACAGACTATGCGCATGAAATCAACTTTCGTGTAAAGGTATTATGTAGGCATTCGTTTCATCTGTTCTCGCCAAACGAGTAAGAGCGGATACAGTCGTTAAGAAGATCATGTAGAGTCCCTCAAACCGCTCCCCTAGCCTCAACATCGTAGAGCACGTCCGTGCGGATAACATACTTAGCAGTCGGGACGCCCTCCTTCTTCACCCCCGTTCCCTCGTGCAGCAGACTACCCTCAGTTTCACCATGCGGAAACATTACGACGCTACCCTGCACAGGTTTAACAGAGTAAGCGTTCATGCTGCCCTCCTTAGCACTAGGCAGGAAGAAAGTAGTCTCGCCCGCCTCAAATTCGTCATTCAGGTAGACCAAGAAAGTGTACAGCGACGACTGCTTTGCCGGTGGCGAGGAAGTGTCGTAGACGTATTTGCCTTCTTCGGTGACACCGGATGGTGGCCACGCGCCGTCGATGTGCGCGCGATACTCGGCCCCCGGGACATATCGGTACACTCGGAAGCGCCTGTTTAGGCCGCGGACTCTCTTGCCTGCTACTTCTGCGGGAACGAAAGGTGCGACACGGGACCAGAGTTTTGCAATGAAAGCGGGGTCGGTGATCCAGTAAAAGTTGTGCGCGAGGATACTAGACTCTTGACCTTCTGTAATGGGAGCGTCTGGTGTGAAGCCGAGAGTCTCGCCGGCGGCGATAATTGCTTCGCACTCGGAGGGTAAGAGTACGTCTCTTAAGAAATGTAGGTTCGGCACTACCTGATGTTGGTGGTGCGTTATTTCTGGAGGAGTCGCTGATAGTGGGATGGTATCGTCTTGTGAGGTATACAGAATAGCTGGGTGAAGATTCGGAGGTTTGCGCTGGGCGCCAGGTGTGATTTCCAGAACTTTAAAGCAAGAGATTGTGACGGGAATGGAGCTGAAGAGTGTGCGATCCAGGACGCTGTTGTAAACATTCCTGCGAGGAGCGTCGTCTCTGAGATTCCAGGTTTCCCGTGGTATGATCGGCATCGAATGTGACATGGACATCGATTTGGCCATTTCAGCAATCGTATAATCCGTAGGTCCAGTGAGGCGCAAGACAGCATCCAGCGCCATCAGCGCTTTCTCTTCACGCTCTGTCCTTGCTCTTCCATCTTCATCCAATTGTTCCGCCAGCCCGCTCACAACATCCAGATCGCGGACCCACCGACATAGTGTACCTAACTTCGGTTTCTGTCTCCTGATGCCCATCTCTGCCAATAATATTCTTGCTTCCGTGTATTTTCCATCAGCCAGAGCACCACTGATCTTCGCCGTGAGGTTTGTGTCGCCGGAGGTCGCGTTGAGGCCAGTTGTGCATGCTTTGCTGAATCTATACACAGCGGTGCGCAATTCTTTACAGACCTTCGCCTTGATCACTGCCGGATTCGCTGTGAGACTGTTGAGTGTGTCGATTGCAAGCTCGATGTCTTCGTCGCAGAGGCCAATACTGGAGATTGTTCTGGCGGGGTTGTCTGGAGGAGGTGTAACGAGTTCATAGCCTGTCTTTTGGCGTTTTGGTGCTGTTGTAGGCACTTGAGGCTGCTTGCGCTTGTTCTTCAGTTGAGGCATTTCGTCTATTATCTTGTAGTCTTTCGACCCGACCTCAAGATAGAGATTCTTCGCCCAGATGATTTGATAACGAGTAGCGGAGGAATTGCTAGAACGCCGTACTCTTTTCTCAAGACCTTTGTCCACACAAGTCTAACGCGGGGCACGGGGGTTCCGGACACACGGGGGTTCCGGACGCGAGCTTCATGAATCTTACTACGTTGACTTCAACGCGTTATGGCATCGTCAAAACGCGTCCGAATAAGTCCAAATGAAGGCAGTGTCTTGCTTGCTTTATCTGCTTTGAAGTCAAATACGTGCAGTTCAATCACAGCTGCTGCTAAAGCTTATGGAGTTCCGAAATCAACGCTATACGATAGGATGAAAGGAACTCCTTCGCGAGAAGATTATGTACCACCGAAGATGAAACTCAGTCCTATAGAAGAAGAGGTACTTCTAAAAGACATCTTGAAGCTAGATTCTCAAGGATTATCGCCAACCACAAACCTGGTACGATCAGTGGCCAATTCTATCTGCCAAGCCAAAGGAACTCCACCAGTCGGCCAAAATTGGGCTAGGACATTCATAAAGCGTACTCCTGCCCTGACAATCAAACTAGGAAGGACTTACGAGTGCCAAAGAAGATTGTGTGAGACTCCGGAAGTCATTGAAAGCTGGTTCGCCCTGGTACGCAACACAATCAACAAGTATGGCATCTTGCCTGGAGACATGTACAACTTCGATGAGACTGGCTTTCAACTAGGACAAATATCTACTTCCAAAGTAGTCACTTCTGTTGAGAAGCAAGGTCGGCCAAAGCAGATTAAACCTACAGGTACTGAATGGGTCACAGTGATCCAAGGAGCTTGTGCAGACGGATCAGCTATACCGCCTTTTATCATCTTCAAAGGCAAAGAAGTCAACTATGGATGGGTCTGCGAAGGCTTGCCTGCAACGTGGATGTTTACAGCAAGTCCACGAGGTTGGACAAACGATCAAATTGGACTACAATGGATCCATCACTTCGCTAAACACACAAAGTCGAAGACAATTGGTAGCAAGCGGCTGCTGATTTTAGACAACCATGGGAGCCATACGACACCAGAGTTCACTTCTTTTTGCAAAGATAACAACATTGTCCTTTTGTGGATGCCGTCTCATACGTCGCATATGCTGCAGCCGCTTGATGTTGGTTGTTTTGGCCCTTTGAAGCAAGCCTTCTCAAAACGGACTCAAGGCTTGATTCGCAACCATATCTTCCATATCGACAAGAGCACCTTCATGGCAACGCTCTACGCAGCATATATCGATGCGATAACATCGAACAACATCCGAGCAGGCTTCAGAGGCTCTGGTTTGCACCCCTTCGACCCTGAAGTAGTGTTGTCCACGTTGGACCCGATATTTCCATCACCTCCGCGGCCTCTTTCACAAGGTTCATGGTGTACAAAGACCCCAAAGACTACTCAAGAAGTTGATCAACAAGCTACATTGATCAAACGGAGGCTTGAGAGGCATCAGAGCAGTTCACTAACTCCAATATTCGAAGCCTTAAATCAACTTTCTAAAGGAGCTCAAATGATTGCAACTTCAGCAGCTCTTCTTCAATCACGAGTTACAGATCTAGAAGCAGCTAATGCTGCAACGCACATACGCAAATCAAGGAAAAGGAAGTCAATCCCAGCAGATGATGCTTTGTCAGTCCAAGCAATACAACGCTTAGTAGACACAGAGGAGGTAGAAGCACAAATAATAGAGGAGATGCCAAGGCCTGCCAAGCGGACAGCGAGGTGTAGCAAATGCAGATCAACAGCTCATACAGCCAGAACTTGTACAGCATAAGAGATAGCATTGATGTATTATATCCTTCATTTTGAAGACTATACATAAATTATTGATCAAGATATTCATTCTTGAATGCAACGCATTCAAGAATCGTGTCCGGAACCCCCGTGTGTCCGGAACCCCCGTGCCCCGCGTTACCTGTGTAGGATGCGGCTTACGTAAGATAGCTCCCCCGAGCGCGATGCCCACTTGATCCAATCGAGTAGCGTGTATTCGCGACGTCCGGCGCAAGAGGTGCTGTGAATGGCTGCAAGGTACACGCGACAATTCAAGAGGGTGATGTAGTAGCACCAGGAATAATCAGATCTGTGCATGAGTTTGGCATTGGCCATCGCTGGCAACAGGCTTGCGGCGCTCCAAATACTCCTCACCAGCAAGCGTGAGACTCAACTTTTTCGCACTTGCGCAAGAATAGAGCGACTACCCTGTGCGCCTGTGGACACGCCCGGGCGCAATGCGAAATCTATGCTCTCTGAATACACACAGTGCATTGTCCGCACCCATCACATTAACAAGGTGACTTCATTACTTTTAATAAAGGTCACGTGGGCCGCTGTTCGGTACGTGAACTTCCACCTCTGCCGCCGGTTACTGTGCGTCGGCGTCCCTCTTTTCGCCTTCCTCTTGCACCATCATGCAGGCACGAAACAAGTTGCGACAATGGTATCGGGCGACCATGAGAAGTCAGAAGAGATTGATTATTGTCTAAGTATCATCTAGCTGACAAGATTTCGCAATGCCGGATTGCTCGACCCTCTTCGGCACATACCTCTGGTGTTGATTCTGTAGAATCGATTCGCAACAGGAATTCCTTTTGGGCGCAATCAGACTAGCACGCTGTCTGGCAGGAGAATAGGTTTGGCTCCAGTGGGAGTAACACTCTCGGATGCGCCAAGGACGAGCAGGCGCACAGTCAGGGCATGTCGAAGAACTGCGCAGAGTGAGTATGGCGAGAAGCACGGTTTGTCCGTAGGTGTGCACCTTTTTCCTCCGTGGTATCGCCGAACATCTCGGCAATTGGTCGGGACTGCACAGCGAGGCCACATACGTGCTTTCAGATGGGCTGGCGTACACCGGTCCGTCAGACTTTGCTGGAACTCCGACAATCTGCAGCGTCGTTGGCATTTTATGACCGTAATTTCTGCTGTTCTCGTCAATGGAAAGACTTTGAATCGAAGTTTCGAGCTCGAACAAGTCGAAGCGTTCTGCTCGTTTCGTGTTGCCAACCTCTCCGTCAGGCTCCTGGGTACAGTCTTCATACGTGGTGCCATCGGCATACCAGCTGACTCCCAAAGCCTCGAAAGTTGGCTGACACTTCCATTTGCATGGCTTTGCTTCTGTTCCAACCTTGTCGCCTTTCCATCCGCCATAAACCGCGATGAAACTCCCCACAGGCCCTGGAACGGGGGTCAGTACGATGCTTTTCGCAAAATGTTAGAAGTACTCTTACATTTTCCATTTTTCATTTTGGTAGCTGCCGTCGTCATCTCGGCCTGCCAGAGAGCACCGTCCTCAGCACACATTCCATCGAAGTATGACAGTGCCGAAAATGCAGCACCATTTGCCTTCTTTGCTGCTTCCCACAGCGGCTTCTGCTTCGTAGTGACCGCCATATGTGTGGTGCGCCAAGCACTGCTTGCTGTGTCCATATTGTGCTATGTACTATTTCGAGGTACTGTCGATACATAGAACTTGTTCGTGCCTGCAACGAAGAACGAGGCAACCTAGCGAGGAATTAGTAATGTTGTGGCATTATCGCAAAGATCTTAGACAGCATACAACGAGGTTGTTGCCTTTTGCTGGGATCTTGTTGCCCTGTTTGTCCGTATGTGCTTCCACCTTTTTGCTCCAGACATGTGGACGGTTTTTAATCCCTCAAAGACAGCCTTCGAAAGAGCCTGTCCTTGTTCAATTGTAGGAGGATGGCCTCCGTGTGCTGCCGCGTCCCAGGAAACAGTAAACTGAAAGACGGGTTTCTCGGTACTTCTGCTCGGCACGGGATTGAGCTGTAGTGACGGTGGCCATGACACACAGATCACAGCCTGAAAGAGCCCAGCGAGGGCGAAAAGCACAAATGAGAACAACATGCTGAAGCAGAATGCTAGATCAGGAGGATGAGGGGCGGTATCTTCCCAGAATTCGATATGATGTAAGAGTGATCGCTGTAAACTGTAGCGCGGTGAGTGTCGAGCATGATTCTGCTCTTGCATAGGCAGGGCAGGACTCATATATATGACCGTCACAACATTACCAAGTAACAACGTAGCCTCATTGTAGAGCCAGCGGTGTCTGGCCTTCGTCATGATTGAGCACTTCCACCCATACTGGGTTCGCTATCCGCGACTTCATAGTGATCAGGTGCAGACCGGTCCACATCCAGTCATACTACCGATGGCTCAGCAATCGTTTCATCACAATAATGCGAGGCGATTCATCTGGCCATCGAGGCTGTGGTCACTGCAAACACGTTTTCTTGCGATAGACGGGCATTCTGCGTGGCCGATAACTTGAAGCGGAGCAGCGAGAAGCGCTGCCCGTGGGCGCCATTGGGTGCACGTTTGAGACAGCCGCCAGTAAGCGGGAGGAACCTTCGTGTCGAGATGAGCCGTGGAGATAATTCTATTCAATCTTCCATTATTCAGGAAGGCGATAGACTCCTGGGCCACTTCGGCCAGGCGAGGGTGTCGGCGCGTCGCCTAGGGCAATGTCCTGCTGATTGTCGCAGCCGACGGTGGGTGTGGGCGAGCCGAGATACCCAGCCGCCCGCGGACTGATACATGTACGATTAAGGCCTTGTCTCATGGCCAACGTTGGATGTTGGACTGCAATCCGTCGTAGCAATCCAACGTCTTGTTTCGTAGCCACTACGCTCAAAAACTGGCCTTGGAAAGACTTTTTTTCCAATAGAAGCAAAGGTTAACGTCATCCAGCGTAATGCACAAGGAAGATGTTTCGAGGTCGGAGTTTTGCCTTTTCTCGATAAGATCTACAATCTAGCGAATTTAATGTCTTTTTAGGCGGTGGTTTGGGCTGGCACGTAGGGGGACAAGCAAAGGGTAATAAATCTTGCTATCGTTAACTATGCCTATGCAGGGGCGCCCAGCATTAGCACACCGCACGATTGCGCAGATCGGCCGCACTGTGTTGTAGAGAGAGAGCTCTCGGACATCATCAGAATCAATCTCAATCACCGGTCGGGAGGATCATCTCATGAATCTGCTACGCTGAGCCTCCTACTCTCCTGCTCAGCGATCTACAATGAACTCTCTCAACACATTTACTCAAATTGCCAGATCGTCATACGGGCTAGAGACGACAGTAGCCTGAGTGCTCTGAGCAGGTTGCGTCCCAGTACGATCCACGCATTGAGACGGCTTACTATTGATCTAAATGCGACGTCGTGTGGCTCCGGCTGGTGGTGTGATGATGAGCAAGATCCGGATTTTCGACAAGAATCACAGGATCTGAAAGGCGAAGAGGATCTTACTATCGAAGAGGAGCCGGACCCGCTCGAGCTAAAGATACTCGAACCACGTGAGGTAACCCGGCGAACATCTGAATTGCTATGCGAGACCGAGCGAGCCGACAATGAGCCCAACGATGCCGATTTAAGTCTCTCCTCAATCATTGACTACTCTCGGTCACAACCGCTCACCGTGACAAACCAAATCCACACGGTGAGTCAGGGCATATCCATATTTAATCTGTAGTCTTGCTGATCATCCTTGAAGGCTGTCTTGCGAAATTGGCATCGGGTCTGGACTGAAAACGTCCGGCCAAACTTGCAGCCTGCAACCCTGGAGCTGGACTTTTCTTGCGACGTGGCTGACGTGGAAACCGGGCAGCTCGCTTTGGAGCCTTTCCTTGCAGAGATCCGGCCCTGTCTAGCGAGATGCAACATTAGACTTGCCCGTCGCAAGATCGAAGCGCTTCGAAGAATTGCCCGTTCAGCCGTTGAGCGTGTAGTATGCCCAGCTGAACCCTCCAAGGTAGAGTTGGGCCCTCCTATACAGCAGCTTCGATGCCAGAAGACCCGAACTTCATTTATGGACCTTCCCGCTGAGATTCGCCAACACATATTCGAATACACTGATCTTGTAGTTCCTGATAGCGAGGTAGAGTGGAGCCCGTACCGTGGCTGGTACATCAGACGTGGCGAGCCATGGCAGGACGAGCAAAGCTCAGAATATCTCTCCCACCTCCATCCGATTGCTAAGGACAGGAGTATGACCACCGACGATGCTTTCGGATATAGAAAAAATGACCTCGAACGCGCACATTGTTTGGAGAAGCTTGGCGGTCGAGGTTGCTTCTGTAAAAGTCGGCACACAGTATACTCGAGCTATAGCAAGCTGAAATGCTGGGCACCGCCGACACCTCTGTTCCTAATCTGCTCTATCCTCCGACAAGACGCATTACAAATCTTCTACAGCCGAAATCGTATAGTAGTCTGGCCTTGCGAATCGATATGCTGGGTTAGTCTTCTGCCGAATCCTCTAGATCGGCTGCATATTTCGACTTTCCTCACGGATATAGTCCCAAGGGATGCGCTCTGCCACCTACGCTATCTTGAAATCGTCTTCGACATGCCTGACCATCGGGCAGTGAGCGACGGAGCATTGCTGGATTGGTGTTCCGCAGGTAGCACTGCGCTTATAGACTGGGAATTGGCGATTGGAGGAATCACGAAACACGTTGTGTCATCGAATATGTCGATCACGGTTGTTATCCCTGGCGACCTGGACTCATACTTATACCCACATTCTCCAGATGAAGGTACCGAGCCCTCTGAGGATGAGTTACAGCGCCGGAAACGATGCATTTACAACGCGTTGTTGCCTCTGCAGCGATTGGGCCCATTGAAGCACCTGCAAATTGATATCTGGGGATATCCTAGCGGCTGGGAGATCGTGGAAATGATTATGGGTCCTTTATATGAGCCCCCAAGGGATTATACATATGAATCGGCTGAGATCCCAGTACCATTATTCGCGCGAAGAGGGCGTTGGCTTACGGACTCGCAGAGATTTGTATGAAACTGCTCGTAATCCGTTAGACGAGGGCCCGCGACTATAGTTATTTTCATTCCTAATATAAGAGCACATATTTCCAGCCCTGAAATGTTTGAAATACATACCTGGCTATAATAAAGAATATACCTATATAATAGTATAAGCTATATTTATACAAAGCGACTCTAGTAGAATATACGCTCAATTTATCTAACCTCCTAACAAGCAGGGAGAACACTCCCTAAGGGCAGCTGTACCGCGAGGCGTGATTGTAGATATGGCCCCTGTACGTCTGATCTAATACCGAGTCAACACACTATAAACGTTTGAACAATTCTGCATGAAATTTGTTTCCGATACGTCCGTACCGCCTGCATGCATATATAGTTTGTATGCCACGCTCTTCGAAAAGAGCATGTTGCCCATCATAACCATGAGGGATCTCGTCCCGTTTCGGCAGCTGGAGCACTCGAGCACGACTCTCGAGAAAGTGTTAGGTCGATCTAGAGCTTAAACCTTGAACACAAGCTGCCGCTTTCGCGCGAAGCAGGCCTTTGTCCACTTTTCCTTGCTGCGAACTGTCAGAAAGCGTTCAAAAAAAAAGCCGGAGGATACTCACGGCTGAAATTGGCATTGTCTCGAGAAACTCGAACCCACCCGGGAGGTGAAAATGTGGAGGGAGAGAGGATTTTATCCAGTTACTAAACTCGTCTGGTATCAATTGAGAGCCCGCCTCGCGAGTAAGGTACGCTCGCGGCACCGGTTCTTCATCATAGTCTGGACTGTCGAAGTGTCAACTAATTATAACGGAGATATCTATGTGAGGTTTACCGTAGTATTGGGACAACTGCGACGTCATTGATGTCCTTGTGGCGTATCAAGACCGCTTCGAATTCGGAAGCTGTAAGATGTCCGCCATGATGTTTGAAGAGATCCTTGGATTATGAGCATAATGCCTGCTGCAAAGTCCCAAAAAGTCTCACCTTTAGGCGGCCTCGAATGTACCAATACCCCTTTTCGTTCACGAAACCTAAATCGCCTGTCTTAAAGAATCCGTCCGCTGTAAAGACCGATGCGGATATGTCTCGTTGATTGAGGTATCCCTTCATGATGTAAGGGCTCCGAATAGCAATCTCTCCTACTTCACCACGTGCAAGGAGATTTCCATCCACGTCAATGACTATGCCCTCGACGTTGGGCATCAGCTCCCCGACCGTGTTGTCTTGGATTGTAACGCTTGGATCTGATGCGAAGAATGTTCCACATCTAAATTCATTAGCCATGCTTTCCGATCACATCAACGTGCAAGTGCTTACTCTGTCATTCCGCACCAGACCTCGCACGACGATCCATGCTTCAGTGTCCATTCTCGACACATCTCATATGGAGTAACTGCACCCCCTGTACGCATGCTTCTCACAGTCGGGAAGGCGCCGTTTGATGAATGGAGTAATATGTCCTTCAAAGTGTGTTTCGCCACATGTAGTGCTGTCGCACTGAACATATTGGCCGCTTTGATGAAGTTTTCCGCGGTGTAATCAGGCAGAAAGATGGTACGGTAACGTGCCTTTAGTGGTATCAGTAAACCATATTGAAGAAAGCTGACGCCAGCATGCACCATCGTGCAAAACCACGTCTCACGCTCTTTGCGAGGTTTGAGATGATAACGAAACAAAAGCTGCTCTGTGTTGCCGATTAGTCCATAGTGTGTTCTCTCAACAATTTTCGGGGAACCCGTTGTGCTGAGTCCTGTCAACGCGAGCTTTCATGACATGAATTTGAGTGTTCCTACCCAGATGTGTGCATCAGCATAGCAGTGGTAATCTTCGCATCCTGGGCAGACATGCGCCGCCATTGAAACTCAGGACCAGAGTCGACGTCCAGCAATGCGGTCCAGTGTTGCATGCCCTCCAAAGCAAACTCGGTCGATTCGTTTCCTAGAACGAAAAGATTCTCCTCTTCAAGACCAACTTGCGCGGCGGCAGCGCGAACGACAGCGCCATGTTGAGGAGTGAAAAAAACCAAGTCCGGTTCGATATCAGAAAATCGCTGGGCTGTCTGCTCGAGCGGGTACGACGGGCAAATGTTGGGGCACGCACCTGCCGCGATGGATCCCAGAAGCACCACCGGCAAGCAAGTCGTCAGCCCGCCATAGATCACCAAGCGAGAGGCTTTCTTTTCCCGCTTGATAAGGCCACTCGCAAAACACCGTACTTGTTGCTCCAGTAGGTTGAAGCTTACAGATGAGGATGGCGAGCCATCAGCGGCCAGGATGAGCGGCTCATCAGCCGCCCACTGTCCATTTGCGGCATAAGGTTCGTCAAAGATATACGAGAGTAAGTCGCCGGCGGGCACCTCCATACGAAAGCGAGAAAAAACTCGAGACATTTCTGATACTTGATTCTGGTACGATGCGATCAAAAATGAGTTTGCAAACAAGTGTACAGCCAAATTAACCTTGTTTCAATCATTTGCGGAAATCAGTGGGGGTTGACGTGTGCCTTTGTTCTTCGAATCACAGTGGGGTGACAGTGCGGAAAATATACATATCCAAGGTCCGGGGATTGCGGCCGCACTGGTCGCCCCACTGTATTCTTGAGGTTCCTTTAGTATCTCCAACAACCACCCGGCGCGCAGTTGCCGTACACTGTATTTATCTACCATGGTACACCGCAACTACAAGGCGGATACGGCTAGGCCTTTCTTGCTCTAGGAATCTCTCCCATCCCGTTCCAAAACTTTTGCACTTATGGTCGACGTGCGCCGATCTGAGGTGGAACACATCGACATCATCTGCAACTCGTTTGTTGCTCTGTACAATTTGATCTGCACCTGCATGCGTCATTCCCGTCCAGCGCAAACGGCGCCTGACTATCCAAATCGTGCTGGCCAGACAGAAATGTCGGTATCTAATTAGCGGGCTGTTCACGTCGCAGCATTGGCCGTTGTTGTTTGCCCGCTCGAACTTGACACAACTCCGCCGGTATCCCACATCTTACGCGGGCCTCTCGACTTCCAATCTATAGTCGCAGGGCCAATTTCCACGTTCTCATACATCCCACGCATGGACGACTCCACCGACCGCGGGAAGAAACTCTCCGCTAACTTCGCCCGGTTCACTTTACCGGAGGCTGTTCGGGGCACTTCTTCGCCCTCTCGCAAGACTCGAATTATGGAGGGTAACATGAACGCCGGCACATGTGCTGAGAGGTCCTCGCGCAACGTTTCGAGGTCTAGCTGCATTTGAGGATTGCGAGCACGAATCAGGACCGCAACGCGAGACACAACGGCTGGATCCGCGACCGCCACGACAAATGCTTCGAAAACATACTCCAATCGAAACAGTGCTCTTTCAACAGCGGGTATCGGAACTTTAGAGCCCGAAACTCTGATGACTTCGGAGCGTTTCTTAGCGTATGACCCTACTCGTCTCAACAGGCAGCACTTACTGTCAGTCTTCGCCCGGCCTTCAATAAAGTAGTCATCGCCTCGTCTGGAAACTATGTCGCCTGTCCTATAGAACCCGCTCTCATCGAATGCATCCCGAGTTGCAGCATCATTCTCCCAGTACCTACGCACGGTCAGCTTAGGGAGAACATCATCGCTGAGAGCAAACGAAGTTACCCCTGGAACATTGTAGGTGTCTTGATGAGCATTTCACCGAAATCTCCTTTGGAGAGCCTCACCGTCACGCCCGGCAATGGTCGGCCGATCAAATTCTGAAATTGTTAGCTAGGACTCAGCGAAAGTTGTCGAAGACATCTTACAGTCGCCGTGTCTTCCCCCGCAGCAAGTGAACTGAGAGCGATAGAACTCTCGGTGGAGCCCCAGACCTGTATTAAAGGTCGTCGAACGACGTTTCGCCAGAAATTCTCAACCCGAGGCACAAGCGAGGCTCCGCTGGTAATTGCGACCTTCAAATTTCTTGCCGCTTCAAGATACGCCTGCATCTCTTCCTGTGGCAGAGATGCAATGATCTGCTCAAAATATTCTGTCAATGTGAACCAAAATGATGAAGAACCAGTGAGGTTTGTGACACCGCTTTGTCGGAGTCGTTCCCATATAGGACCTGGACTGGAGTTCGAAAGCAATTCTATCGGAGCGCCTCTCAAGATATTCCTCATCACATTCGTCAGAGCCGATGGAAGATTCAATGGCCGATGAGACAAGCATATTGCATCATCTGAGCCGAGACCAGTGAAATTCGATGTGAACAGCTTGAGTGAGTGCACTATAGCTTTCGGGGGACCGGTCGTGCCAGACGAAAGGAGGATCAGAGCAGCGCGCTCGCTGGCAGAAGCAGTGCTCAGGGTGATGTCGTGATGTAAATGCGACGTCGCTCCAATCATGTCCGGGAAAGATGCCCTTTTCGGCACTGGTTTTCCGGTGTCTATACAATATTTTTCAAGTTTGTCCTCCAGATTCACGTCTTCCTTAGCATGCAATATGCAAAGCGCATGAAAGCGCTCGTGAAAGTGAAGTATCTCTTCGGGAAGAGAATCTGAGACTTTGACAGAATTAGAAGCAACTCCCGTCCGAGAATGCTGTTGCGAACCTACCGATTGGAAGAGCGACTGCCCCGATTGATGTTATCGCAAAGAAGGCCACAAGTGCCCTATAGTCCGAAGGGAGCATCGAACAGATGGTGAGGTTTTCCTCATTGACGTGGCCATCCTGGTTCAGGTAGATGGCAGGAATCGCGGCAATGAGCCTCTCTCTACATCGCAACACGTCGGATAGCAGCTGACTATAGGTATGCTCCGTTTTACTGCAGCTGTCCAAAATCGTTTGATGTCCTCGGAGATTAATTGTTCCCAGCAAGAGTCGGAAAAACTCGTGCCCGGGGAAACGAACATTGCGGGACTCCATTAGAGATTTGCTTAGGACCCCTGGCGACTGCAAGGCGATCTTGCGAACAGGGCGATAGACTAATGTACATATTTAGAAGTTCTTTGTCACCACAATTTCGACTCAATACCATTGAATACATCACGTGCAAACACCTTGATGACGTCAATCCGACCACTCATCGTGCGAATTCCTAAATGGGTAAAAGCACGACATTTCTTCGACACTGGATCCACCGGTGAGGCCCAAATTGTTCGGCGTGGAGACTTGTCGATCTTCGCACATGAACACAACGTATAAACATGCCTCGGGCATCTTGGACAAGGACGTAACACACCCGTCATATTTCGCTGTGACGCAAATACGTACCAGAAACAATGATTGACTTGGTTGTGTGAGGGCCTGAGACATTGGGTGACTGTCTCCACATCAATAACAACGCTGAGACCTTCTAGACCTCAGTAATCGGTCGGGCCTCAGGCCTCAATTCAGAAGGATACACAAGCGCACAATGCATCGATGAATTGCAGCTGCAATCCCCACTGATGTAAGGTCGACTTCGCCGGTTTTCGACCACATTTTCAAAGAATGAAGCCGTCCGAGTCACAACAAGGTGTCTTTCGATCGACGGAGGACATGGCTCCATATTTCCCACAGAATATCCCCGATTCATGGTCTCTGGGACATCCACTCCCGCCCGACAATCCGCATGTTCGTGACTTTAGGCCTCGTGTTTCCGGCGGTGCGGTTCACATGTTATTAACACGATTTCCGTAGGCGATCAGCGCCTCCTTGCCAACATGGAACGACGTCTACTGCTGGTCGATGCGGAAAGGACCGGTCGTTCAGGCCGTGCAGACCGGATATCCGAGGTACGGCCTGTGACCATGGACGGGTTATTTCTTCTTCTCATGCGTGACAGGATGCGGATCCATAAATACATTGAGGAGCTAAACTGCGCTGTTCTGTCCCGGCTCCGAGCATCTGCTGGCTCCAGATGCCTGACATTTCCGTCCCTGGCCTGCGCGAACCGATTCTTGAAATACCTGGCATCCGAAACAAATGCTCATACTTCTCAATCTACCGAGTTCGGCCTTGCCGGTGATCTTCCAGAAACCATAGACGCCTCCAAAGCGATATGGGCACCCTTCGTTGCAGTGATTTACAGCGGGGATGAAGACAACCATGGGTTTCATTTTTGGCGTCAAGGCGGCGATGGAATCACGAGCCGACACGCATGTTACGCCCTCTCGCTGTTTGATCACCTGGTTCCGACGAAGAATACTGAGCCTTCGGCGACTTTGGACTCGGAAGTGGATCTCCCAGATAGAAGAGGCTCTGCGTTCGGCGAGAATGAGAAGCGCGCCCTTCGCTCTTCTATAGCGACGCTCGCCAGCTCGGAGAAGGGAGGCCGCATTGCTGCAGAGGATGTGCTCCTTTATCCCTGCGGTATGAACGCCATCTATTCTGTTTCCAGAGCACTACGGCGGATGAGTAAGGATGATTGCGACGCGGTTGCAATCTATGGGTGCGTTCGACGCTCTTCCGCCGCTGCCCAGACAGACCGACCTAGCTGACACGATGCACTGCAGCTTTCCATATGCTGAAACGGTGCCTGCCATCAGCATGTGTGGATGGCAGACCCTAACCCTGTATGGCCACGGTACTGCTAAGGAATTGCAGGATTTCGAGGCGAGTTTGGCGAAAGGACATCGCATAAGCGGTCTTTTCTGCGAGCTCCCGACCAATCCCCAGCTCGAATCGCCGAATCTTTCCAAGCTCCGCGAACTCGCAGACCGGCATCAGTTCCCCATAGTTTGCGACGAGACAGTAGGAACATTCGTGAATATCGACGTTCTTCCGTTCGCCGATGTCGTAATGACCAGCCTGACCAAATTGTTCAGCGGAGGATCCGATGTAATGGGTGGATCGTAAGTATATACTTGCCACTTCCCTATCGGATATGGCTGACTTTGAAGCCCAGGCTTATCATCAATCCTCGGTCCCCATTCCGAGAAGCTCTTCGCGGCTCCTTGCTTGCTGAATGGGAGGACATTATGTTCCCTGCCACTGCGATAACCTTGCTTCGCAATTCCGAAGATTTCGTTAGCAGGGTCCGAAGGTGTACCGAGTCCGCCCAGGCCATTGCAGATTATCTCAACCGCCACGAGGCCATTGATCGCGTATATCACCCGTCACTGAATGCGACACGGCCGTTCTACGATGAGTGTCGTCGAGCAGACGGTGGCTACAGCAATCTGCTCAGCATTGTCTTCCGAAAGCACAGCTCCGCGATCAAGTTCTATGACCATCTGCACGTTCCCAAAGGTCCCAGCTTCGGTGCGAATTTCACCCTCGCACTTCCATATGCTCAATTAGCACACCCGTTCGAGCTCAAATGGGCGGCGAGTTATGGTGTTCCGCCACATCTAATTCGAATAAGTATTGGCCTCGAAGGTAAACAGCAGTTGCTAAAAGCGATTAGAAGTGCTCTAGAGATTTGTTCGTCACCTCCAATCTGACCTGATCTGTATCACGCGTGGACCTGGATACCCCGCATTATATGCGTACACAAATCTCGTCCCAACTGTACTTGAGTTATTGCCAAAATGAGAGTTCCTATCGTTTATTTTCGGTACGGATATTTTGGTTTGGGGGAAAGTTAGGGTTAGGGTTAGGGTTAGGGTTAGGGTTAGGGTTAGGGTTAGGGTTAGGGTTAGGGTTAGGGTTAGGGTTAGGGTTAGGGTTAGGGTTAG